AGCCGCAACCTTATCACAACTCTTCTTAAACTTCAAAGGTCCTGATGACGTCCAGAATCCCAGCATGTTTTTGGGCCACTCCTTCTGTACTGATACAGCTTCCAGCCGAGGGGTTCCAGACCACCTAATCAAGGCCACGGGCCTCAAGTGTATCTGTTTCTGATCTGATCCAACCCTCAAGACCCACGTTATGTCCACTCTTTGCTTCATTCTCATGGGACCCTTTTGGGGGTCTGCCGGCCCGGGAGGCACTGCTGATCCCTGACTAAGCATTTCCCCACACACAGCTCATTTAAATTATTGCCATCGCACAGCTCATTTTACATCCAACAAATAATCAAGCTTCAGTTTGATAGTGTTGTCTGAGCTAGCGAATGTAGAAAATAATTAAAATAAATAAAAACCACTGAATGAGAAGGTGTGTCCAAACTTTTGACTGCTACTGTATATCATATTACCCAATAGCTCAAAATAATGTAATGATATCATGTTCTGTGACACTACATTATGATGTGTTTTACACACATTTTAAGTTCATAGTATGCCTACATTCTCAGTTTTAGTTCACGTTAGCCTAACCTAGCCACTGAGTGAGCTTAAAAGATATATGACTTATTATATTATATAATAATAGATAAGTATGTCTTTTCTCTGTATTAATGTGTTTTAAACTTTTAAAGTGTACATCCTGTTCATATACACTGAAACTTAAAAGGGTCAGAGATATAAACTAAACCCTAATGTCTGAATGTTTGGACTGTTTTAAAAATATGGAATTACATGACAGCTGTTTTTATCTGGTCATTAGACACCTAAGTTCTGCTAAAACTGTTGATAATCATGTAGTGGTCTTGTTTATCAAGATTCTGACAGCTGTGAGGCAGATGTAGCCGGTAGAGGTCATCTTTGATGATGATAAAGATGATAGCGTGTAGAATTCAGACTGTTTAAAATGTCATGCTTGTTTTTAATGTCATGTTCATTTGGATGCTTACAGTGCCTTCTAAAGTCTGTCTGCAGAGAGAAACACCTGAACACCAGCAGGTGAAGCATGATGATAAAATAACAAGCAGCTATGAGGGACTATGAAGGGCCACGAGGCAGGTAACAGTGGCATAAAGAGAAAGATAGATGCTGTGCTCCTCATGATCAAAACCTTCTATTTTGAGCACAAGATGACAACAAAAAGATGAAACTGACTCCAACACAGAAGCTCTGAACACTTCAGACTTTATTGAGTAAAGACTTTAAAAGAACCCATTAACAGCCTTCATCATGTTCACCAACAGTTCAGTTACACAGGACAGGCCAACATACTGCATTTAAACGTTATTCATGTTGTTGCTGTTATAAAAGTTATCAAGTCACATCAGCCCAAGTGATCATAGAAGTTAATGTCTTGACGGAGGCTTCATGGAAAAATTAAAAACCTTAATTGTCTTTCAGCTGTATGCATGTATGCTGTTTGATCTACAAATACATCTTTAGGGAGGATACACGGATCTGTAACAACAGGCAGCCAACAAAGTCCATCACCACAAGGATCCCATTATGTTACACAAGTTAGACGTCAAACCACTGTTGAGATTTTACAGTGTTTTACATTCATGTACCTTTTTATTTGTCAGGCTAGAAATAAAACATTAGATCTACTGAATAACTCCACATCAAACTAACAAAATCAGGTTTCCCAGCTAGCTTTGGACGTGGAGACGAGCAACATGATAGTTATCGGATTCACAGCTGGGACACTGTGCTGTGATAGATTCCTGAATTACAGTGAATCAGCACTTCAGCGTTGCTACCTATAGGTTTATGACGTATCTGAACATTGTTTTGCAGAACTCCATCACCAGGAACATGGAAAAAGTCACTAAATTAGAACACCACAGAGCTGTCTCATTCACAACTCTCAGAAGTTGTCTTTTCATCAGTCAGCATCATAACAAACACAAAACCAATATAATGTCAGAAAACACGCTTCACTGTCTACAATCAAAAGAGTAAAAACACGTTACATGTTACGTTAGATCATCATAACTGAGGGCCAGTGATCACCATGGTTCCCCCAGTTTAACCAGTTCTAGTGGCTCTAACCCTGAAGAACTCCACCTCTTCTTCATGGTGCTCCACAAACCTTTGTTTCTGAGGCATCTTTATGATTTAGTCATGAAGTTGAGCTGAACTGATTCTGTCAACCCAGAATCTATGTCGGTGGCTGTGGCTGTCATTTCTGTGGAGCCAAACCTGATTTTCAGGTTGACCCGACGGTTCATGCCACCTGCAGTGTTTGGCATGTTCACCACAAACGAACCAATTGTCCTCAATCCCACATCATCCACATACTTTGCATCTGATTTTTCTGTGCAGTAAAATGAAAAGTTCATCGCTGTCTGGTTTTCTGTTTGTGGACAGAAGCTGTGCTCTCTGGTTTCATTCCAGCCCACATCTTCATCTATTTCTACCAGTTTCTTAAAGACACCACCACACCAGTCACCCTCTTCATTTGTGAATTTCTTGTTTGCCTTGTGTTTGGACTCATCAAATCTCACTGAGACAGAAATCCCATAAGTAAAGGCACTTTTGCGAGATGCCAGAACCCCTGGGTTTCTTCCAAACAGCACAGCTCCCTTCACAATTACTTCTTGGGGCCTAAAAGGACACAGAACCTGACACTGAGAACTGAACTGATCCTTTACATGTTGACGCAGAATCTGGCTTTCAGCATAGCCCCCCACTAAGAGAATGTATTTAATCTGGGAACATTTCCTCAAGATTTCTCTGAGACTCTTGGTGATACTTTGAAGACTCTGATCAAAGAAAGACCTCAGTCTACCTTTTGAGATGGTGATGGACCCGCCATCCCAGGAGACACCTCGCACTGGTTCAAAAAACTCTTCCAAATCTTTCACTTCCTGAGCTAGTGCTCCCAAGTTAAATGGGCAGCTGATCGCCACATTATCATCATTTTTTTTGAAAACTGAGAAGTCATAGATCAGTTTCTGAACCTCACTGGGATACTTTCGTTCATATTTTTCCCAGACACCATCACAGAAGATTTCTTTGAGAAGCTCTTTGAATTTTCTGTCCACCGTTTGTCCGCCCATATCACTGCCAGAGACTTTGTGCAGCTCCTTCAGTTTCCCTCCACCCAGGACTTCATGTACAGTGATGTCAATGGTTCCACCTGCAGGACAGAACGAGCTGAAAATCACCGAAGACACCATCTGCACAGATACCAGTCCTTACTGGTCCACACACATGTAACACATTAGACAGATGGACCATGAAACTTTGTACTTGCATCAAATTTGAGTCTTTTTATGTTTTCTTGGCGTCAGTGAGGGATCAATAGTTCCACCTATGAAACCTCTAAGCTACATGTATGGATTATTGTCCAGATGAATAAAGGAGCTATTGAAGGTACATCCTAAGTCCCACAGGAAGTCCACCATTTTGAATTTACTGAATCATTTTTACACAATTTTTGCCATTTGCAGTTATTAATATTGTGACTTTTATTGAATATTTTGGTGTTTTGGCGTAAAAACTGAGGTTGTAACTAAAATTTGCATCGTCTGATTGACACCCAACCCTCATGTTTGATGACTCACAGCCTGCAGACATCTATAGTCAATATTGAGTTACAGTCATAGTGACACCTATTTTATTGTCTTTATTTTATTTATCTTTTTATTTGTTTCATGCAACAAACCGAGACCTGTGAAACTGTTTCATTCTATCATATCACGTAGTTAGAATGACAATAAAGTTCAGTCTGAGTCTGGACACAAGAAGTCAGATTTATGTGACATCTTTTGATTTAAATCAAATGTAAATGCTGTGTTGTACACAGGATGTACAGCAGCATAATGTTTGTTGCATGGTGGCAACAGGAACTGATGGGAAACATGCAGGACATCAGGTCCACCACCAAGCGGTCCAGGCAGGACATAAAAGTGAGTTGTTCCCTCAGTCAGCATCCTGCCAACACCACTGATTTACACAGAGGTGCAATAACTGCTGCTGGCAGCTAAAATCCTAATTAGAATTAGAATTAGTTGGTAGTAAGAAGTCTGTCAATCAATTCCTGAGTGAGCAGCAGGTTCTGTCTGACCAGAGTTAGTGTTTTTAAGTCTGATTTGGATCCACCTTAATCTGACTTCCTGACAGAGTTTTAACAGAGTTAGAGACAGAGGGAAAACATTCAGACCTCAGTCCTGTAAACCAAAGTATGGCTTAAAAACAGTTGGTGTGAGTAGAATCAGAATTAGAATCCTACAACCTACATGTGAATCAAACAGATAGTACCTCCACAGTCCACAACGATGTACTGTGTTCCTGGAGAGTCATCGAGTTTGTCTTCTCCCTGGTTTTCTGCTATGAACCCCTCAGCTGGAAGCTTCTTGCAGTAGACCGAGGCTGCCTCTGGCTCCAGTGCTATCACCAACTTGTCTTCCTTTCCTTTGGTCACAATACCAGCCTACGAGTGAACAGAAAATCAGGCCTTCTCATCAGAAATACCACTGTACTGCAGGTTTCCCACCTCTAGATGTCCTCAGTGTGCTACCTGAGTCGCAGCTTCTCTCATGAACTGCTTTGCTGAAGGATCCCAGATAGCAGGTACAGTCAGCACCCAGGTGAAGTCAGAGGCTGTAAACTTCCTCCCAGATGAGTTCTCTCCAATGGTTTTGAGTGCGTCGTCCTTCAGGTATCTCAGTGCTTCTGTAAACACCTTCAAGGCCTTCATTGACTTCCCATTTGCAGCTTTGATTGTCAGATTACTGTTAACTTCCTGGTGGTGATTGACTGGATGTTAGTTCATACAGTAACTGAACAGTGTTTCTGAAGTCGTACAAAACATGAATGTCTGAGTCAAACTACAGCAGCAGTTCACTAATGAGACAGTGTTCTCATGTAATTCTAATGACTGTCCTGCAGTCTTTGTGTTAATATGTTGTGGTGAGTTGGACCTTTTAAGGCCCAGTGGATTTAAAGAGGTATTATATGTATGTTCATTGGTCTGATCAGAGTAAGAATCATTTACTCACTTTGCCGTAGAGGGACATCTTGAAGCAGTTGAAGAAGAACTTGTTTCTGGCTTCATCACCCCTCATTTTACCATAAGCCAATTTGGCTTCATAACCAAACTTGAGAAATTCTCCTCGTTCATTGAACAGAACGCAGGTTGGAGTCTTTACCGTCTCCAGTCCAACTTCTTTACCCCAGATCTTTAAATAGGGATCAGGTTCTTCCTCTCTGGGTGTTATACTATAAGCATATCCACTGTATGAAGTGCCAAAGTCTATGGCTATTATGAATGAGTCACCCATTGTAGAAACAGGTCCAGGTAGTCAAGGTGAGGAGGAGAATGACTGTAATGAAATGCAGCAGGTGCAGTATATGTATTATCTGAGCAGGAGGCGGGGCTCGCCGAAGGTTTGCCTCCCAGTGAGTTCAGAGTGGAGCTACTGCTGGGATCAGAACACATTCAGTCTGGGCAGGGCGAGGACGGAGCAACAGCAAAAGGAGACCACGGAAAGGCAACTTCAGGTAAAGACATCAGATCATTTTCAGAAGTTTGACTCTGACCTGTCTACAGATTACAATACCTGCATTGTTCAGACCATTTAAGATGAAACAGGAACAAAAAAATATTTTAGTTATGTTAAAGTGGAAATGTTGGTGAGCAGGTTTCTGTCAGGACTCGAGGAAAATTGATGTTTAATTTCCCCACCGCTACAAAAAGGTAGTTTAATCTCAAACAGCAAAGCACTGACAATGATTAACTCTGAGACAGAGAGAGGAGGAATTCAGCTCATCATATGTCATGTGTTGATGTTGGAACTGAATCTAATTCCAAGTAACTTTGAAAAATGTATTGCGTGACAGAATTTGACTTTTTCTACAGTTTTACTCCATCACATGAGGTTTGTACAGTTTCAGAAGCTCTCAGCGTTTCCATAAAGACAAGAGACAGCTGTGAAGTTATCCCAGTATTCAACAAGGTACAGCCTTTGAGGGAGATAACTTAGAAGACAAATGATGAAATATGTAGCCTTACATTGTGACCACAGGCTGTGGTATTTAAGCAGAGTAACTTTTGATGTTTTCTAACAGACTGACAAAAATGGAACCTCGCAACCAACAACAAAAACATCAGACCAAGTAACATCTTCTGATCTGACTATTCAAATCATGTGTATCAGGATTTAAATCAGTGACGTGCGGTGAAGAGAGGCTCTGCCTCACCTGACCGCACGGAAAGAAAAAAAAAATATATTGAAACAATAATTTAAATGGTTATATTAATCCAGTTATTTGTACTATAAAGTATTTATTTTTTCATTTATCTTCGTCAGTTTTGATGATTTTTAAATTCAAAATCACTGAATTTTTGCAATTTTCCATTCAAATGCTTGGAAGAGAAGCGGCGAGCTGAGCCTCACTTGGATTGCCCAATACCTCGCTACCTGTGCTGGCTGCTGCTGTCTGTATGTCGGCAATAACATGTTTTAAACACATATATGAACTGATGTTCCATAGTTCAGCTGATGTATATAATGTTCAGTGTTTTTTGTTACCAACTGTATGTGTGTAACATGTTTCATGTGCTGAGCGATCATAAACGGCTGATAAGAGGTTCTCGGTGAGGCAGGTAGTTCTCTTGCCTCATGGCAGGGGGCGCTCTGATCCCAGACATGCTTCTTGTGACTCCATGCCTGCAGAGTAAGTGACAGCTAGCTGGACTAGGTACGATATACAGTTAGCAGGTCAAGTGCAGCGAAGGAAGATAAAAAGACTTTTACAAAAAAGTAACGGATATTTAGTCCAGAAGGAGCGGAGCATGGACTTCATAAAGGTAAAGGTCAGACCGCAATAATTATAAAAAAAAAAAAAACAGAAACATGGGTTTTGTGGGCTACAGCTTGTATGTGTAAAGAATGCAGATATGAAGCATAACCCGTAAACTGCTGCCAATCAAATGACAAATATGCTGCTGTGTAGAGTGCATATATTTGTAAATCTGATTCTGATAAAGTCTGGGCCTCAGCAGCCATGAACCTCACCGCACGTCACTGATTTAAATCTACTATAAATGACACAGTGTGGACACAATAACACCTGGATGACACAGTCAGTGGTTAAATCAGTGGTCAGTGAAGTCAACCAGATGACTGACAGACAGTTTAACAGTCAACCATCCAATCAGCACCAATGTTACCAGAATCAGTGATTGTAGTCATGAATCTGTCATCTGATGGGATTTAATCAGACTAACAACTGATGATGTTTTCAAACAGAATGAAAAAAATGGAAGAAGAGCTTGAGAGGACCAGGTAACATCTTCTGATCTTACTATTAAAATCATGTGTATCAGGATGTAAATCTACTATAAATGACACAGTGTGGACACAATAACACCTGGATGGTTCAGTGGAACTAACAGTTAGTTCAACCTGCTGGGTCCATTCAGGACCTTCTGTTATTGATGTCAATGATGGTTCAGTCAGTGCATCTTGGATTAACTCAGTAAGTGTGAGGATTATTTAATGCTCCATGTTTAATCCACAGATCTTATCTGGAACACAAACAGAAAGATGTGGAGTCACTCAAAAGCAGGTAATGTCCATCAATCAATCAATCAAATTTTATCTGTATAGCGCTTTTCATGTGCAACAACAACGCAAAGTGCTTTACAACATTTAAAAACAACAAAGCATTTAAAAAAAATAAAGTAAACCCGTCCCTCCCACCCTCCATGCATACACATACACAAACAGCAAATGAAGTCGCACACACACACACACAGACGCACACACACACACACTCACCACGAGACTAAAACAGGCGTGGCATGGCACTGAGGGATTGTGGGAAACGCTACCATTGGGGGCGTCCACACCAGGAGGAGTTGCAGACCATGACCACTGGGGGCGCCAGCGCCCGGACCCCCGACCCGGCAGTCAGGGGGGTCCCCACAACGAGGTGGGGAGCCCCCCAACCAGCCGGGCCGAAGGGACCCGCAGACAGAACCCCCAGCAGCAGACCGGACCCAGCGCCAGTGTGGAGGACCCCCCGAAGGAAACACTGGAATTAAAACTAAAAACTTTAAGAATAAAAGGCCTTATGTAAGATAAAATAAAAGTTAAAAGAGTAAATACATAAAGATAAAATACAAATATAAATAAATGATAAGAATATAAAAGAATTAAAGTTCAATTAAAAGCCTGATTAAAAAGGTGCGTCTTTAACCTTCTTTTAAAAGTATCAACAGTCTCTGCAGTTCTGAGGCTCTCCAGCAGGCTGGTCCACAGGTGGGGCCGTAGTGGCTAAATGCCGCCTCACCGTGGGTTCTGGTTCTGGCTACTGGAACGGATAAAAGGCTGCTGCCGGGGGACCTCAGGATCCACGAGGGTCGATACGGTAAAAGCAGGTCAGATAAATAGCTGGGTGCAAGGCCTTTAAGACACTTATAAACCAATAAAAGAACCTTAAAATGGATCCTGAAGCGGACGGGGAGCCAATGCAGCGACCTTAAA